TTTTTTTTTTTTATTGGGTTAAACCAATTTAATTTGGGTTCCATACTGTATATTGTTTTGTTTCTACTTAATCTAGCCTAACCTATACCAGTTTTTATTCATCTTTTAGGTGTTTATTTTTAGGTTTATTTAGGTATTGGAGTAATTAGTTACTATTTAATTACAAAAAAAAAAAAAAAAAGGTTGGTTGGTTGGTTCAGTAGGTTGGTTCAATTGTTTGTTGTTTGTTTGGTTGGGTTGGTTGACTTCATTTATTCATTCATTCATTCATTTATTCATTCATTCAATCATTCATTCACTCATTCATTCATTCATTCATTCATCACCTTTATTTAATTACATTTCAAATAAACGTTGTTCGGTTAGTTGGTTGGTTGGTTGGTTGGTTGGTTGGTTGGTTGGTTGGCTTGGATGGCTTGGATGGGTTTGTTGGTTGGATGGTTGATTGGTTTGGTAGGTAGGTTGGTTGATTGGTTTGGTTATGTTTGGTTGGTTGGTTGGTTGATTGGGTTCGTTTGGTTGATTGGTTTGGTGGATTGGTTTGGTTGATTGGTTTGGTTGATTGTTTTGTTTTGTTTTGTTTTGTTTTGTTTTAGTTTAGTTTAGTTTAGTTTAGTTTAGTTTAGTTTAGTTTAGTTTAGTTTAGTTTAGTTTAGTTTAGTTTAGTTTAGTTTAGTTTGGGTTGGTTGGTTGGTTTGATTTGGTTTGGCTGCTTGGGTTGGTTTGGTTGGGTTGGTCATGCATTGCCTTTATTTCTTTGATTAGTTTATTTTTTCCTTTTCTGTTTTATGGTTTACATTTATTTAGTGCAGTTTTTTGTTTCATTTAGACCTAGATTTTATTGCATTAAGTTGATTTTTGATGTTTCCCAATACTGCATTGCAGCTGGGAGGACATCCGCTGCGTAAAACATATGCTGGAATAGTTGCCAGTTCATTCTGCTGTTGCAACCTGTAAAATAGATACTGAAGCGAAGGAAAATGAATATGATATGAACGAAAGTTGATTATTACTTGAAATTGTGTATTGCCATTTTTATGGAATTTGTTTGAGTTTAAATAAAATATTTGTATTCATTCATTCATTTGTCCTGCTGATGCATTTATTTATTTAAATCATATTTTCATTATTTGCATGTATTAAAAATTATATGTATATTTTTAAATGACATTTTAGTTGTTTTTAAATAAAAAATACATAGATTTTATATAATGTTTATTTTATTAAATAAATTATTTTAATTTTATTTGTTTATTTAGATTTTTTTTGTTTGTTTTAGGTTGAAATTCAGTTTAATTTGGTACAGTTTTTTACATTTAGATTTTTTTCTGTTAAGTTAATTTGATTGATTAATTGATTTATTGATTGTTTGTTTGTTTGTTTGTTTGTTTGTTTGTATGTTTGTTTGTTTTTTGTTTGTTTGTTTGTTTGTTTGTTTGTTTGTTTGTTTGTTTGTTTGTTTGTTTGTTTGTTTGTTTGTTTGTTTATTTGTTTGTTTGTTTGTTTGATTGATTAATTGATTGATTGATTGTATGAATTCATTCATTCATTCATTCATTCATTCATTCATTTGCCAAATGTGTTACCTTTTTATGGATTCTGTTTTAGTTTAATTAATACATTCATTCTTTCAGTTTCAGATTTTGTTATATTATTGCTATCATTTTTATGTTTAACACATGCAAATTCTAAAGGCTTTACTAAAAATATATCAGGGATGTAGATTCAATTTAATTTGTGACCATTGTATTTCCTATATCGTTATTTTAAAAAGTCATAGAAACACATTTACCATAGCTTCCCCAGTTTTTGCTTTGCTTTTATTATTTTGTTATACAGTACCTTTCACCGGGGCTTTTCCTTTAAGAACACAGCAGGTTCAGCTGGTCCTAGATTAGACGAAAAAAAAGGCATTTTATCCTGAATAATGGTCCTGACAGACTGCTTTTCTTCCCAGGGAGTGCAGTCATGGCCAGTGAAGCGTGCCGTGTTCACCCCCTCATCGTCTGCCACTTTCTTCTTCCTTCCTTCTAGAAGAACCACGAGAAAGAAAGGAAGTGAGTGATTTATAGAGCACTCTGATGCGTCATCTTTTTTTTTGAGAGAGAGAGTATTTACCTCTTTTTTTTCTTTCTGCACATGGTAGTAGCACAGCCTCTCTCGTCATAATTATTGTCATTTTCATCAGCATTAGCACAAGAGATGATGATTATCTTCATCTGTGTTCGAGATCAGCCGGATGGTGTGAGTTACTGGTATCAATCACGAGCTGACACATTCGTTTTAGGGGCGTATGAGCAATTGTTCTGATGCTACACGCTAGTCTGATTAGCGCAGTGCAGATCGGCTCCTTTTCTGACAGTTCTTTGGATAAATCTTGTCATTGTTTAATGTGCTTACAATACACTTTCACTGTTGATTGGTTACATTAAGAATTTTTATTTATTTATTTATTTTGTATAGCAAGTTGTGTGAAATGTGATTAATATGCAAATGAGGCATGGTTCTATTAAATATGCACTAATTTCCCTATATTTCAAGTGATCAGAAAATTCAGATAATTTTTTGGGGGTAAAATTTTGTAAGTTGTTAGTCATATTAGCGTATATATGAAGATGTCAGGCATATTAGCCTATATATGAAGTTATCAGGCAGATTAGCCTATATTTTGAGGCAGATTAGCATATTTTCTGAAACTAATCCACTGTTTAAATAAATATACGATA